AACCTCTCGGAGTCCGCTCCCCATCTGTAAGCACGGGCGGGCAGTGCGGCCTTGGCGGGGGGAGATGGACTAAGCCGACACCGGCTGACCCGGCGGCACAGCCCCGCACGCTTAGCCAGTCCTCCCTGTCGCCCTCCAGCTCCACAGAGGCCGTCCGAGGAGCGCCTGCCGTGCGTGCTCAGCCCTCCACAGGGGCCCTGCCCGCTCCAGGGCTGCACCGAGGACCGGCCTGGGGTTTGGGTTCAAATCCACCCAGGGAGCTGCGGCCCAGGCTCCGAGGTAAGCACACTCTCAACGCCAGGGGTCGCCTCGGCAACGAAAAACCTTCCGAAGGGGCTCAGGAGTGGGGTCTGGGGAAGGCGGAGGGTCCCTTGGGCCCTCGTGGCGGAGGGAGGTGCGCGCAGGTGGTGCGGAAGGGGGGGGGCTCGGAAACCAGCGGGGTGCCCGCCCTCGGTGCTGCCCCCTGTGGCCGCCAAGAGCACAGCCCCGGGCCCCGCAGCCCCGCAAACGGGGCGGGCTCGGCCCACGGGGGAGGGTTGGGGTTAGGTGCTCAGCCCTCTCTAACCTTGGGAAGGGTTGCCTGCGTTTCCGCATTTCCGCGGGCCAGTGTTTGCTTTCCGTCCTGTGTTTCCTTCCTTGGTGGGCACCAGATGGGAAAACTCGGAAAACCTTGGCAACCCTGAGTCCGGGTTCCTGTAGCTGCTAAACTGATTTAGAATTGTGGTGTGTTCCCAGCACAGACCCAAGGGCAGGAGAGCTTATTTGCCAGTGTGCACTTGGAAGCGGCGGGTGGCAGGCTTTGGATAACCGAGTAAGAGGTAAGATCCGAATGGCGCGGGTTCATCGTCCCCTGTCTTGTCCCACTGCTCCCTTCCCAGCCCCCCTCATTGTTCGGTTCTCCCCACCTGCACCCCGCCCCCGGCGGGCCGAGAGCAGAGCTCAGGGCCTTGGGACTCTGCCACTTACAGTTCCGCCACCTGTGACAGCGTTTCCTGCCTCGGACATTTCTGTGGCTACCACCTGCAAGGCTTTGGAGCCTGGCCATCTGTGAGGGAAAGATCCTGGGGAGGACCACGGGCCTGTGCATGACTGAGAATGGGAGGGAGGGAGACGATCCCCAACCCCCCCCTCTAAAGTAGTGGCGGCCACTGACCCCCCGACACACTTCCCACACGTGCAGGGAAGGTGGTGGCCTTCCTGCCCCCCCCCCCCCCCCCCCCCCCGGGCACCACCACCACACTGAATTGCGGTCTGTTCTTTAGCCTACGCTCAGGTTCCTCACTGGCTTCCCACTAAAGACAAAATAGGAGATCACAAAAATGTCCATATTTTACTAGATATCTGGAAAGCAGGCAGAAAGTTCAACAAAACCAAGCTGACAGTTTTGCCTGAAACCCAACAGTTAAAGGACTGAGCAGAGCAAAGCAGGACCTGGTTTCCCTCCGAGCTATTTTCTGAAAATGGGCCAGGACCCAAATTCACCTGCACGCGGCTCGCCGGCCGGCAGCCCACATCTCAGCCAGCCCGGGGCACTGAGCGGAGGCTGGGGAGGTCCGCGCCCCACTAGGGCGAGCTCTGGGGCCCCAGGGGTGTGTGTGTGTGTTGGGGTGGTGGCATGTGGAGCCTCGACAGCCCCGGGGGGATCTGCCAGACCCCCACCTCCTCCCCAGGCAGACAGAGGAAGGTAAAAAGAGGCTGTAGGACCTGCACACAATCTTATCCCGCCCACCATGAACATCATCTTTTCTGCATGGCTAATCCTCCCGCTCAGTCCACCCCCCTTCTCCCCTAAGGCAGAATAAGCCATCCCTCCACTGGGTTCCAGAACATTCTGGTGCTTCCCAAGCTGTTGCCTCTGCTCCCTGTGTACTCCTTGGGGGAAAAAGCTGTTGATCCCCAGGCCTGGCGGGGTGTCTGGCACGTGGTAGGTGTGATGTGAATAAACGTTGGTCATATTGAGTCGAATAGTAATGAAGGAACCAGATGGAACATACCCCTCAGACATCTAAGAATAACTCCAGCCAAATTAAATGGTGCCCTGAGGCCAAAGAATGTGTTTTTGTCCTCAGCTCCTACACGCTGCCACCTGCCATGCTAGATCAAGTGCATCTCGGCGATGGCTCCTCACAGGCCCCCAGAGATGTGTCCCTCCGCTCCCCACCCCCAAGCCATGGCCCTGAAACAAATGGCAGCCGATTCCTCGGGACGCCAGTCATCTCTTTATTCTATCAGTGACCAACACAACCGCACCCCAGACACAGCAGGGGCCTGCCTGAGAACCCCGGGCCGGGCGAAGAGGGTGGTGGAGGGGGCCCCGTGCCGGGAAGCCCGCCCTCCCTGCCTCCCCAGCACCCAGGGGAGAAATGATCGTGCAGACAGTGATGCAATCCGTGTCAGCGCCCACCCTTCCTCCAAGCACCAGGGCCGCATGGGCGGGGGGAGGACGTGTTCCAGCGCGGGGCCAGGGAGGGCCTTGGGGTGACTGCGAGTGGACTCTGACCTTGAGGAGGGACTGTGTGCATGCCTGCGCATGCGTGTGAATGTGTGCATGTGCGTGTGTTTGGGGGATGCCTACACTACAGAGCATGTGGGATTTGACGGCTGAGCCACAGGACCTGCCTGGGGCCGAGGAGACCAGGAACCAGGGCTGTGGGGCCTGGAACAGGGGCCTGGGGCGCAGGGCACCCTCGTCACTGCTTCGCCTTGGAGAGGAGCGGGGGCAGGCCGGTCTTGGAGCCTGGCTGGAGGGCCGCCTCTGGCCTGACCCACCTCATGTGTAGGCCATCTTGCTGCACACCCAGGGCCGGGTCATCAGACACTCCGTTGACACCAGCCTGGTGGGCTCCACGAAGACACACTCTCCCAGGCCTGAGATGGGGAATCTGTGGCCAGAAGACAAGAGAGCAGGCGCTTACAACCCGGCATGCATAGCCCGTTGCTGGGTGGCCCTGGAGGCCCGGTGACCTGTCCCTCCCTCTGGAGCCACCTGCCACTACTTTTAGCCCTTATAGAACTTTCTAGTGTGGCTCCCCCCATTGTCTACCTACTGTGTGCACCACGGCTCCAGCCACCCTGAGGATGCCTACAGACACACCCTGCACTTTCCCATCCCGCTTCTGCATCCTTCCAGAGTCAGCTCACTTGTCCCATGAGCCAGAATCCGGTTCAGGACCACCCTCTGCCCAGCCTCCCTCCCCGCAACACCTGCCTGCACCGTGGGACATGGAGGCCTGTGTCTGTCTGTCCCTGCCTGTCCCCCAGGCGGTCAGCACCTGCACAGTGGGCTCCGTGGCCCTCTCATCTTGGCTCCCCTGATGAGCACACAGTTCTAGCACAGGAAGAGCCCAGCGGAGATGAGCTAAATGAAACTACCTCTCAGGGGTGGACCTGATCAACCCCGGCGTTTGGTGCCCAGGCTGTGTTGCCCACAAATTCACAGACATCATCAGTAGATGTGGGGGGTGGGGGTTCTTTCTCCCTAAAATCATTCCTTTTGAATTTTAAGATTTCTTCTCAACCTTGTTTGGTCACCCAGATCTGAGGCCCCTGCCAAAGCTAGTGCTGGGGTCTCACAAGAGAGGGTACCAGAATGACCTCAAGAGGGGGTGCCAGGCAGGACTACCTCAGTGCCAGAGAAACATGGCCTAAAGGCCGAATGGTTGGCAGATGGTCAGCACGCTGGGGACCCCAGCCTCCAGGGCTCTCCCAGGTTCTGGGAGCAGGAAGCTTCCAGAAGAGGGGAGAGAGAGACAGAAAGTGCAAGATTTCTCAGCTCTAAGGATAGATCTGGGATGAAGGCAGGAAAAGGATAGAGAAAAAACGGAAGAGACAATGAAGACAAAGAGGGGGTATAAAATGAAGGGCACAGGAGTCAGGGCAAAGGAAGGAAGGAGCTGACAGAATGCTCGCCTCCTGGAGGCTAAGCCCTAAGCCTGCCTCGAATGGGAAGGTGGCTGATCGCCAACTTCCGGCCATGGTGGAGGGCTGGGGGTCTTGGGTGCCTCCCACTTCTCCTGCCTAGGGGACCCTCCTGCATCATCATCATCATCAGGTGAGCAGCTGTGCCCCCACCCGGCTCCTCAGGGCCTATTCCTCCAGCCTTAGGGGCTGGACTAGAAACTGAGGTTCTTATTCCCCTGTATGCCCTCCCCTGTGCTCCCCTAAGCCTGGACTACCTCCCCCCGCCCACACACACACACACACACACACACACTATCACCACCCCCCCAACACTGCCACAGCCAGACACTCCCACCCCCACCACCCATGACCCCTGCCACCAGCACCCAACAAACCAGTCCCTGATATCGCACACCTGCCGCCCCAGTACACTCTCACGTGCACACCCCTTGGGTCACACAAGCAATCCTACCACTTCACACACGGCCAGCACCCTCAGGCACTGTTTGTTCTAAGGGCGTGCTCACAGTACCCTGGGGTCAGAGCCCCTTTCTTCCACAGGAACAATGTTTAGGCAACACATGGCTGCCCAGAATAGAGACCCCATCCCCACTCTCCCCTGCGGGCAGTGTGGTCGAGTGGCTAAGTCCTGGCCAATGCAGAGGGACATCCAGACCATGTCTTCCCCTTCCTCTGAGCCACACTGAGCCCCACAGATGAGCTGCTACCCAGGTGGGGAGCCACAAGATGGAAAGAGCCTGGGCCCCACGGCAGGAAGCTCTGATGACTACATAGAGCTGCCAAACCAGGCTGGACATTAGGGGAGAGAGAGAGAAGTAAAGCCCTCTTCATTATTATTATCTTGGCCACACGCTGCTGACCCTGGAGGTTAGGAACTCTAGCTATCACAGAACTCAGTGGTTCTCCCTCAGGAGGCTGTGTCTGGGGGGGGCTAGACCTTCCCCAGTTTAAGTCCAGTGGCCAGAAGATGAAGCCTCAGCTCACGTGTCCGGGTCAAATGGGTCCCCGTTGACCCAGTGGAATTCGTCCCCAACTCTGCGCAGACCAATCCAGGGCTCCCTCCGTGTGAACTTGAACATAAACTCCTGTAGCAAGGAAAGAGGGAAACCCGAGTCATCTGCAGTTTCCTGACTGTTCATACATCCCAAGACTAACCTCAGCTGAGAAGACTGGCTCCCAGGATATACAGACGCTGAAAGGGGGATCCCTCACTGCATCCTGCAAGTAAGGAGCTGGGGTCACAGAGCGCCCTGCACTCTCGCTGACATCCCTCCCAGCAGTTGGGAGCATGCCTGCTGGATGAGGAAGCCTAGAACAAGGTTTGTCCTCCTAGCTCAGTGGTCCAGCCCGCCAGTCAGTATTCCTGATTTGCAGGAAGCCTGGGATTGCCCAATGTGATGGATGGTCTGGGACAAATCACAACGTTCAGTTTGGGTGTCCTACCCCCATACTTCTGGGCCTTTCTCTGCAGCAAGGAGATACTGTACTGTGTATCAAAGACAAACAGAAGTGATTTTTCGATTACCTGCTATTTTGGATTGCCACACCACTGTTACCCCCAAATCCAAAACGGACAACAGACTCATTCATTGTGTTTCTTTCATTTTTCTACTGAGAAAACTGTTTTGGGTGTTCATCGAGAGCTCATGCCCTGATTTGGACGAGTAGAAGGTGCCAGTGTGTTCTTCATTCACAAGGGCGTTTATAATTTGTAATTCTCGCACCGTGATACTGAGTTGAGCTCAGCAAACCAGCCTCAGCTTGAAATCCATTGGCCTTCACCACAGCAGTGGAAACAGGAGCCGCTCGGAAACGTGCTCGCACCCCACAGGGCCCATCAGCACACCCCCGGCTGGAAACAGGTCATGGGGGCTGCCACACCCCAGGAGTGGGGTTCTCCCTGGAGGTCGCCCGCGGCCCAGCGCTCACCAGCTCCTTCTGGCTCTGGATCACGGCCAGCGCGGCCTCGTGAGTATGGCAATACTGTCTGCCCGTGTTCCAGTCCCTCGGCTCCTCAGAAAAGAAGTAGCATTTCCTTCCGTAGAGCAGCCAGTCCTCCGGGCAGGGTGCCTCGCACTTGATACAGCCCTTGGAAGCTGCAGGGGAGACGGAGGGGACTCAGCGTCTGACAGCAGGCCTGGCCCCTGCTCGGGCCTCAAGAGTCCTGCTCAGCAACCCAGCGTTCCCTCCACCTGCCTGACTTCGGTGCCCTCCGGGGTGCCTCGGGTGGCCCTCTCCCCAGATGAGCCCCTCTCACGGTGCCCAGCAGGGAAAAGGCTGGTGACCCAATAAATAGGGAAGGGAAATTGGGGAGGCTGGCAAGGGCATGACCACCAGGAGAAGTGCCAGCAGATTAGCCCCTGGGGTCAGAGCTCGTCTCTCTCCCCAAACTCCCTGAGGCATGGAAGCCCAGAAACACAGATTTAGAAAAGATCTGGAGGCCACGTGTCCAAGCTTCTCCATCCTGCCTGGCTCACTGCAGTGTGTCCACACAGGCACCCAAATGATGCCCCCAGAACAGACTGGAACACACCAGATGTGGCCCCACTCCCAGCAACAGTGATGGCCACACCCCTTCCAGTGGCCACGGGCTTTGCAGTCTACAGACTGCTTCCAGGAAAGGAATCAGTGCGTATGTGCATACGTGCGCTTTCCTCGGCAGGCAGAACATGCCCTTCGCTTGTTTTCATGTCATCTATTTCCAAGCCGGGTCTCCCCTGTGTCCAGAATATGTATCAATCACCTTTTAAATCCATTTGAAGATCTTATTTTTATTTCTTCCACCTTTATCTCATTCACATTGGCTCATCTGAGTTTTTTTTTTTAAGATTTTATTTATTTATTTTTTATTTTTTATTTATTTATTTTTAAAGATTTTATTTATTTATTTGAGACAGAGAATGAGATAGAGAGAGCATGAGAGGTGGGAGGGTCAGAGGGAGAAGCAGACTCCCCGCTGAGCAGGGAGCCCGATGCCGGACTCGACCCAGGGACTCCAGGATCATGACCCGAGCCGAAGGCAGTCGCTTAACCAACTGAGCCACCCAGGCGTCCCTCATCTGAGTTTCGAAAGATACATTTTGATCTTGATTTTTTTTTCCCACCTGTCATATTAAGCACCCTTCATCTGTTGCCCTGAGCATCCTTGTGTCACCTACAAATTCCATAAGCATCTTTTTGTTTGTTTTCGTACAAGAGAGTGATTAAAATGTTGACGGGGACAGAGCCAAGAAGAGACCTGTGGTACTCCAGCCCCGAGGGACCTACAGACACCGACACCAATTAAATAATCGACACTCCAGCCTATCTGTTCAGTGGGCTACAGGACCACTAAGGTATTGACCATGGCGTGGGCACATGTCAACTTTTCCACAAGGACCTCCAGAGAGATTCTGTTGTGCTTTACGAAAATCACAACACGCTATGTCTTCGCGTTGCTCTGACCTCCCCAACCTAGCACGAGGACGAAAGGAAACTAATTTAATTCATAGTGATTATGCTAGATGAATCCAAGCTCGCACCGGTGGTCGCCATATTCTTTTCTAAACACTCACAAATCCCCTGATTATCATGCATGCCCAAAGGGGAGGGTTTGGTGGGAGCTAATACTATCACTGGACTTCTCTCCCCTTTCAAGGTGCCCACCTCTGGGTGCTTCTCAAAGATTAAAGACAAGGCACTGAAATCCCTTTGCAAACCCTTTAGAACCCACCACACATTTTGACTTGAATCCATAAAAAGCAGCCCAATCTCCTGGTCATAGAGCCTTGCCTGTCCTTGGAGGGTTTCCTCCCTTTTATTCCTTTCCCCCTTTCAGTCCCACATGGGAAGCCCCCTAGCAGGGATGCCTCCAGAACTGGGCAGCAAAGATGAGTCCTAATCATCCTTTCTTTCTTTCTTTCTTTCTTTCTTTCTTTCTTTCTTTCTTTCTTTCTTCCTTCCTTCCTTCCTTCCTTCCTTCCTTCCTTCCTTCCTTCCTTCCTTCCTTCCTTTCTTTCTTTCTTTCTTTCTCCTCAGCATTTAGGGGGCCTAACACACAGCGGGGCTCCATAAATGTTTGTTAAATGAATGAATGTGATCTTTCAAGGCCCTGTCCCCAAACCATCTCCTCCAAGAAGCAGTGCCTGTCTAACTCACCTCAAGTTGGCTCTGTGTACCGAAGTCACCTGGCCACTCCCCCGCGTGGCTTAGTAAAGGGGACAGGGAGAGCCATCGTGTGGATATATTATTGTAGGCTAAACTCTCACCCAGAAACAGCAGTCTGTTTTCTATGCTTTGGGCCCCACGGAATACATGGTATGTCCGGAACCTTTCTTTACCGAATGAGACCTGATTTTGACAAGGTGTGTGTACCCCGCCCGGGCATCCACGCTCACCCAAGATGCTCATCACCACCAGGATGGCGAACAGAAGGACCGCGATGGCCCCCAGCAGGAGACGTGTGGTGGTGTCTGAGGAGAGAAAGAAGCGGTTCAGTACCCGGCCACCCACACCCCACTGCCAAGCCCCACCGGGAACTCTGGCCTGGGCCCAGCAGTCTGAGTTTTCACAAGCCCTCCGCGGGAATCTGCTGCTCACTGAAGTCCCAGAGCCGCTGTTCTGGAGCCCAGGTCTGAATCTTCGACCCGGCTGCCTAAACCCACCCCTTCCAAGGCTCTGTGCTTGCCCTCTTCCGTGGCACCAAACTTTCCAGTTCTTACCTCCTGCCGCTTCTCTGCCTGCTCCCGGTTTCAGCCACATGGATTCCCTGAAATAACCCAGCCTGTCCTCACAGCCCCGGGGCTGGGTCTTTGCCCCCGGAGCTCTTCTCCGCCCTGCCCCGCTACCCCTGGAATCCTGCCCACCCTGCCCCTTCCATCCTCTTCACAAAACCTCCTCTGATCCTCTGCCTTCCCCGCTTTTAAATTTTTATTTATTTTTTTGTTATCACTGAACATTTTTCTTTTCTTTTTAGCGGAAGAACCCTTTTAGACCTTAGACATAGACTCTATTTAAGTTTTTCTTACTGTCATTAAACAGACATAACATCAAAGTTGCCATTTTAACCATTTTTAAGCGCACAATTAGCGGCATTAATTCCATTCATGATATTGTGCAACGATCCCCACTGTCTATTTGCACAACTTTCTCACCACCCAAACAGAAACTCAGTACTGATTAAGCTTTCACTCCCGGTTCGCACCTCCCCCAGCCCCTGGTTACCTGCAATCTACTTTCTGGTCTCTATGAATTTGCCTATCCTAGAGATTTCATGTAAGTGGAAACATACAATACAATGTCCTTTTGTGTCTGACTTATTTCACTTAACTCAATGTTTTCAAGGTTCATCCATGTTGTACCATGTGTTAGAATGTCATTCCTTTTTATGGCTGAATAGTATTCCATTGTATGAATATATGTATATATATACTCCTATATACATATATATTTGCTGTTGTTTATCCATTCATCTGTTGATTGACACTTGGGGGGAACATGAACATCCAGTCCATAACAGGGCATCCCCTAGAACCTTCTGAGCTGCTGCAGTCTGATTTTGCCTTCTAAGCCCACCGCCACGCTGAAATCCCCTTTGCCAGCGGCCTGAGGTTCTCTCTGCCTCCCTCATGTACAGCCTCTCCTGCCCCTTCTATCCTACGTCATCCTTTTCCTTAGTTCACTCCCTTGTTCTGGTGGAGTACATCTTCCACTGCCCTGCACAGCCCCAGCGGCAAACCTTCACGCTGGGTCCTGCAGTGAATGCTGCCCCTGGGGTTGTGAACCCAGAGGCCTGAGTACTACAAAAGAATTCTCCTTCCAAAGAACGTTGAAGGCATTACTTAATTGTCTTCTAGCTCCAGTGTTGCTCTTGAAAAATGGCTCCAGAGCCATCCTCATCCATGATCCTTTTAATATCATTTGCTTTCCGTGTCCCGCCCCCACCCCTCAGAAACTTTAAAGGATCTTTTCTATGACACAGTCTTCTAAAATTTCATCATGCATGCCATGCCTTCGTTTGGGTCCATTTTCATCCACTAGACTAGGCAATCAATGGACCTGTTCAATCTGGAAGCTCATGTCCTTCAGTTCCAGGAAATTTTCTTCAACTATATCATCAATGGTTTCTTCTCACCCACTTTCTCCATCCACTTTCTGGAGGTCATATTCTTCAGATGTTGGACTACTTGAACTGGTCCTCTGAGTTTCTTTCCTTTTTTCTCCCTTACCCACTATCTTTTTGCCTTTTTGCTCTATTTCCTGGAAAGGTTTTTCTCAACTTTATCTTCCTACTCTCTCCCGAATTTTCCATTTCTGCAATTATTTTTAATTTCCAGGGTTGTTTTTTTCTTTTGGCTGTGGTTTGCTACTGTTCTCAGTAGCATCCTGTTTTTAATGATGCCATATTGGAGCGCCTCGGTGGCGCAGTCTGTTGAGCGTCTGACTCTTGGTTTTGGCTTGGGTCCTGATCTCGGCATAATAGGATACAGCCTCTGCCTTGGGCTCTGCACTCGTGCTGGGCATGGAGGCTGCTTGGGACTCTCTCTGCCCCATCCCCTCCTAAAATAAATAAATAAATCTTTTCTAAAAAATGATGCCATGTTTTCTCTTACCTCTTTCTGGATATTACTGATAGTTTTTTGGAGGCGGAGGAGGAGAGGACAGGGGGGCAGAAAGGTTATTTCTCCCTGTATAGTCTCTTTTTCCTCCAAATTGCTTTTTTTCCTGTTCATTTGTTTTGGTCTGTGGTTTCCATGTCATCAAGTTTCCTCGGATGTCTGGAGATCCTTGGTTATTTGTTCCTGATTAAGGCAGGAGGGAAGAGTCCATTGGAGCCTCCGAGACTGGGGAGGGGCTTATAAACTGTGGGGTCCCAGCAGAGTGACCAGGCTGGGCTGGTCCTCAAGGTGCTCTGAGTGCCAACCTCCTGGGGTTTTTCCTCTGGGGTGGGCCAGAGTTCCTGGAGAAGGCTCTTCTGTTTCCCTCCTGAAGGGTGTAGGCTTGACCAGGAGGAGAGGCTGGGAGGCCATCCTAAACATTCATTATGTACATGTCCCTTTAACTGCTTGCTCCCAAATGTACTGCCCTCTCTCAGACTTAGCCTCAGGTTCCTGCCAGGGCTGGGAAGAGGACCTGGGCAACTAAATCCTTTCTAAAATATTCAACCAGCCCTCCTATTTCAGCTCTATCTTCACTCACTGCCATGATGACTGGTGCCCCCATCTCCATACTTTGGGGGCTCCTGTGTGTGACTCAGTCTGCTCCTCTGCTTTCCGAGCCTTCTCAGGCCAATAGAAGCAGCTCCCACTCATCATTGATCCCTAGCTCCCAACTGTATTGCTATTGTCTTCTCTCCCGTTCTTGTTGTCCTTATGGCCTTTGAAAAATCCCTTTACTGTCATGTCAGTGGGCTTCTGGAAGGAAAGAGGAAAAATGTGTGTGTTCAGTCTGCCATCTTTACCTGCAAGTGCAGCCATCATTTTGAAATCCTTCCCGTGAGCAAGGACTGTGCTGGCGAGTGACCAGGAGTCCAGAGGCAGGTGGCTGTGGGCACGGTAGGAGCAGAGCCTCACGCCTGCCCTCGCGGGCTGGGCTCTTTCTGTGTCTGCTCCTTGTCCTCAGTGACAGCCTCAGTAGGGCTCAGTAGGATCAGCCTCAGTAGGGCTGATCCGCCTGATCTGCCTGATGACCCCCTGTGGCAAGTGCACTGCCTGGATCCTTCCTCTCCCTTCTCTACGGGCCCCTCTAGGCCCATACAACTGGAACCATAATGCTTTGTGCATTGAAGGTAAGAGCATCGCGTCTTAAACCACTTCACTGGGTTCAAATCCCAGTTCAGCCACTTTCCTAGATGGTTTAGTAACTTTTCATGACAAAGTCACTTCGCTTCTATTTTATTTCATTTTCTTCATCTTTATTTATTTATTTTTTAAAGATTTTATTTATTTATTTGAGAGAGCGAGAATGAGAGAGAGCACATGAGAGGGGGGAGGGTCAGAGGGAGAGGCAGTCTCCTCGCCGAGCAGGGAACCCGATGCGGGACTCGATCCCGGGACTCCAGGATCATGACCTGAGCCGAAGGCAGTTGCTTAACCGACTGAGCCACCCAGGCGCCCTTTTTTCTTCATCTTTAAAACAAAGGAATAGTAGTATCTGCCTCTTAAAAATTTTTATGAGAAGCCAATGTTCAGGGCTTAGCGGAGTGTCTGGCATAGCAAGCTCTGGTTCAATGTTAGCAATTGCCATGATGATGATGATGGTGGTGGTGGTGGTGGTGGTGGTGGTGGTGGTGGTGGTGGTGAGCCCACAGTCTCCTTTAGGGAAAGGGCTGTGCTTTACTTGCCTTTGTGTTCCCTACAGTAGGCAAAAAAAAAAAAGCCATTGCCTTGCATGTTACAGAGCACCCCCGGATACTGAAAGGGGAATTTAGCTACACTGAATGACAATGTCCTTAGTCAGCCTTAAACTCAGCTGACTTTGTAGGAGAGGCCGTGTGGACATACAGCTGCTCTCTGGGGGCGGGGAATCTGCACACACTTCTCCATTGTCACCAGAACCAAGGAGCCTCTTCATTCTTTCCTGAGGACAACAGCTCTGGACACGGCAGCACGGACAGAAAAAGGACACTCCAGGGAGTCCCGGCTCGTTGCTCACTGCTGCCCTCACAGAGGACGACTGTGGGGCTGGCCGATCCAAAACAACACTGTATTCGTTTCCTAGGGTTGGGAACAAACCCCACAAACTGGATGGCCTACAACACCGGAAACTTATTGTCTCACACTTCTGGAGGCCAGAAGTCCCCAATTAAGGCACCAGCAAGGCCGCAGTCCCTCTGAAAGTGAGGGGAGTCCTTGCTCACTTCTTCCTGGCTTCTGAGGTGCTGGTGACCTTCCTCAACCCTGGTTTGCAGTCCCCTCATTCCAGGCTCTGCCTTCTTCATCACACAACCTTCTCCCTGGTTGTCTCTGTCTTTATATGACTGTTGTCTTATAAGGAGCCCACCCACTCCAGTATGCGCCTATCTTAACTAATCACATCTGCAATTACCGTATTTGCAAATAAGGTCCCGTTCTGAGGAGCTGGTGGTTCAACTGCTTCAACGTAGCTCTTTGGGAGAGCAGGAGGAAATAGAATTCAAGCCGTAAGAAGGGTCTAACTCAACAACCATTCCTTCCATGCAATCGTCCACAATAGATGGACTCTGAGGATGCAGTTACTTATGTTTATAAATGTATATGATTTAGCCTCATGTTGGAAGGGACAGCTGAAAATCTGGCTCCTAACCCAAACAGATGCTCTATCACCCTCACACCCAGAGCCCAGAAGAGACTCACTGCTGACCTCTCTGAGTTGTCAGAGCCACAGTCTCTGTGCATAGTCTTGACTCTTTGAAGCTATCAAATGTAGAGTTTGGTGATTTTTAAATTTTTAAAGGCTTTACTAAATGCATGTGTGTGGTTTTGATCAGGAAGTTGTGGGTTGATGCCTAATCAAGAAACTTTCAACATTAAAAATTCAGAATCGGTGAGCTCTGAAAAATCTATAGCCTGGCGATAGGCAGAATCACTCTGTCCCCTGCCGTACCCCCAGGTCACTTTTCCCCATCCCCACCCCCGAGGTCAGAAATATCCCCATCTCCAGTCACCCCCAGTCTTTCTAGAACCCAGGCCGAAGCAACGGGTCATGTTTCCCAGCCCCTCCCCAGAGGTGGGGGTGGCAGGTGGAAGGAAAAGTGATTAGCCACCAGGAGAGAAGGCTTGATCAGGAGAACTTCTGTGTGGCTTTATATTTATACAGCTAATTGTTCGTCTAAGGAAAGTCGTGAAGTCCTGAGCTCTAATCCCGGTTTAAATTTAAGAAGTTCTCCATTTCGCTTAACCCGGCAGGAGAAAAAGAGGGTCCACACTGGAGGCGGCAGTGTTGTCTGAGGATCACGGGCAAGAGAGCTACACGCACCCCAAACACAATTCATTTCCGTCCCCTGGGCCTCATGAAGTCCGAGATCCTTGGTCCATGCAGGATGATACAAGAACTCTCAGGGCAGAGGGCCCTTGTGGCAAACATGCCTTAGCAACCAACATGTGTCCTTGGTCAAGACACTTAGCCCCTCCGAGTCTGTTTCCTCATCTGCAGAACAGATAGAGCACTCAGCAGCCTCGGTAGGGTATTTGTGAGGATTAAATGGGACAGTATCGTGAAAGCCCTGAGCATGGGGTCCAGCACACCGTAGGTGCTTCCGAAATGTTTGCTGCGTGGTAATAAAGGAGTGTTTAGCTTGGTCAAGTTCAAAAGTCTCCCACTTGTCTCAAGACAGGTACTTGACTAAGCAAGGGCTGTACAGTCCTTGGCCCTCAGACCCGGCAGACCCGTCATCCCATCACGGGTGTTTCTCAGTGTCAGTCGACTGGGCTCATTTCCGTGGACTTCAGTTTGGAGTGGGGAGCCGACTCAAGGTAGGTAGACCAGCAGTCCAAGGGTTTTAGCTGAGCTCCCCCATCACGGGTGCAGGATGCTAAGTCCAGAGAGCTGGGTAGAGGAGTCACCTGCACAGCCTACCCCACTGTGTGGCCCTGAGAGGCAGAAATCATTATCTAGCTTGGTAGATAAGGAAACTGAGGCTCAAATGAGTTTGAAAACCTGCCAGCCCATGGTGGTGGAGGATATGGCTTGGGTTTACCCGACTCCAGACTTTGTGTTCTTTGTACCTCACCAACCTGCCTCAGCCCCTGTCCTGTGATTTCTGCCCACACAGCAACACCCTGGAGAGACCAGTCCTGGTCCCTGAGCTCCCCTCTTCTGACAGGAGATGGGGGTGCCAAGGGAACACCCAGCAGACCCTCAGAGCACCAGTGGAGGAGAACACCCTGGACTCGGACCCCAGATACTAAAACTACTGTAGAAAAAGCGCATGGGCCTCAGATGCTGAGCCTCCGAGGACCACAGGCATCAAGGGTGAGCTGCTTCTGGGTAGACCATACGGCAAACCAGAGGAGGCATGAGACCCAGACCCAGACCTGGTAAGGAGCCACACCAGGACAGGCAAGACAAGGCTGGAAGGCTGGACACAAGTAGGCACGGGTGGAAGAGCCAGTGTCCTGTTGGGCCATTTTCCTGCCTTCTTCAGCCTAACTGCAAGTGGTCACCCAGCCCGGGTAGGGAGCAGGAAGCGGAATGTGTCAAAGTCAGGGCAGGAGGTACAATAGGAAACAGCAAGCCAGAGAGCACTGAAAGAGGCCACATCACCCCTGAAGAGGCCCTAACCATCAGGGGGCTAGAGTTAGGTTAGGGCAGACCCTGCAGGAATGCTTAGGAATGAATGAAGACATATAGGCAAAAGGAGTGAGCAACTTCAAGAAATAACTTGGGCGGGAGGGAAGCAGGGATCACAAGCAAATCCAACAATGCCCAGCAGAGAGAGGCGTTTGTCCACCTTTATTCAACTCAACTCTTCCCAGCCTGCAATGGCTCTTCTACTCCGTGAGCCAACATCTTTGCTTCCTTTCTCCCAAATCACCATCCAGGTGTCGGACCGCCCCTGCCTCCAGAGTTAGCACAGAGTTAGTCCACACCCCTGGCCCACTAGCATCTGGGTCAAACGCTGACATTACTGCCCCCACCTTTCCCTCCGCGGCAAGGCACCTGCCCTGCCAAGTGCTGGCTAGGTCTCGCCCCTGACCACCACCCCACCTTCCACACTGACCTGCCCACTCTTCCAAGGGCAAATCCACTGGCTCATTGTAGGCTTAAAACCTCTCAACAGCTCCTGCAGAGCAAAGTCCAAACTCTTTGGCAAGGCCTGGGTGGCCATTCACAATCTGGGCTCTCCAGATTCATCTCTTCCCATCCCTTCCCCCCATCTCAGTACTCCAGAGTTCAGTTTGCCACAAGGGAACGGCTGGTTCTGGCCACCTGGACCCTGAACATGTCACTCCTTGAGCCCGGTGCACCCTGTCTTCTCTCCACATCTAAAAGGTCACCTACTCCAGGAAGCCTTCCTTTTCTAATACTCCGTCCCTACGGGTGGTGTGACCCAGGCTCTGGGCTTCCCTAGTTAACACTGCACAGATCCTCAGCCTTTGGACTGGGGATGTCAGGAGTACCCAGAAGTCCAGAGGGCCAGCCCTCCCCCCTGCCAACTCTAGCATCTCCCACACCACACACCACCAGGGGCCACAAAGTTTTCCAGAAGAACTCATGAACTTGAAATCTATTTTCCACTTGGTTACTGCCCCTGAGCTAGCCAGGGGTCACTCCCTGAGCCCATCTGACTGGAAGGGGTAGGTGGCACTCATGACCTTGCAAGGAAGAGCCTGAGGCATATTCTCCACATCTCCCCTCCCTATGTGCCCCCATCACCACCAGCGTGCTCCCGGCTTCCCACGGGGGGAACTGGCACCATCTCTGGGCTCTACAGCTTTTGTCGCTTTGCCCAAAGCATTTCCACTACTACAGATTTCAGCCACCCTCTCAACATGCCCATCGGATGAGGGCCCGTCAGTACACTGTCCCCCCTTCATTCTGGAGGAGATTGGGGCTCAGAGCACGAAACCTGCTCCCAAGGTCAAAGAGTGAGTTAGCTGCCTAGGTAGGGTCAAGGCTGTAACTATAGGTGGTCCCTAGCTACATCCCCCACCCCCTCCGCCATGTGGCGTCTGAGTGCCCTGAAATCAGTCCTCCGGGGGCTCCCGCCCTCCCCTCTGGGAGCTTGGCCAAGGTGACTCTGACCCGGGTCCCCGGGCCGGAGTGGGGGGGGATGGGGGAGACGGAGGGCCGCTGGGCGCTTACCCTCCAAGGCCGCCTTCCAGCTGGTGCTGCCCTCGTAGCCCGACCCCGATCGCCGCAGCAGCCCCTCGGGGCCGCGGCCCTCGGCCTCGGCGGGCGAGCGCAGCCTGGGCGCAGCGGGGGCGGGCGCGGGGGCGGGGCGGGCGGCAGGGGGCGGCGGCGGCCGGGTCCGCGCGGGGGGCTCCCGGGCCGGCTCCATGCCGGCCGCTGCGCCGCGCCGCGCCCGCGCTCCTGCACTGGGGTGCGGGGCCCAGCCCGACGCGCACTCGGCGCTCCGCGCGCCCTGCGGGCCCCCCAGGCCGGCCTCGGGTGGACCAGCGCCGCGGCTCGCGCAGGCCGGCGCTGAGCCCGGTTCCCCGCGCCGGACCCTCTGTGCCCGGTCGCCGTCGCCTCCGCCGGCCGTGCGCGCCGAGCCTGCCCTGGGCGAACCGCAGCCTCCGCGCAGAGCCGGGGCCCGGGGAGGAGCCGGTGGAGGCGCGCGGTAGCGGGGGTGGCGGGGAGGCGCGGGGAGGGAGGGTGCGGGGGGGGGGGCGGACGGGGAGGGAGGAGGCGCCGAGGAGCAGGGACAGCCCCACAGCCACGGCCCCGCCGGCCACCCGCTCCCGCGGCAGGATGCCAGATGCCGCCGAGAGGAGCGCCGAGCCTGGAGCCGGGAGACCTGTCCTCTAATCCAGCTGCCCCTCCCAGCCTCCGGCCTGCCCTCTGTAAAATGGGGAAAAAGTTTACAGGGATGGTGCGGTGAGACTTAAGGAAGACGGGGGGCTTTCCTCTGGCGTCCCGGAGCTGGAGCAGAGGGGTGGGGCTGTCACTTGGCCCAGACTCTTGAACCAGGAGAGAAAGGAGAGAGCAAAGATCTGTGGGGACAAGTGGGGCAACATTTCAGATTCAGTTCACACTGGTGAGCATCCACGAAGCGCCAGGGACTCTTACAGAGTTGAGCTGACGACATCCCCAGTTTAGGTTGAAAACTGGAAGTCAAGGGCATTTCTGAAGGCTGCACCGTGCAGGTGTGTGGTTGGTGGGTTTTCTCACTCCTGGGCCAGGGCTTCCTCAATGGCCTTCACTTGGCCTGTACCCTCTCCCTGGCTGGCCCACAGTCACTTGAGGCTCTCCCCCTGAATTTTCCCTTTCTCATCCCAATCCCACATCGGTTTCCTCATCTATCGTTCCTCATCCTCAACTCCTGTATTTCCATAGGGATGAGAGCTTAATCTGTATAATGCAAGTGGTAGGTTTCTTGGCTTATTCCCTTGGATTGGGTTTGAGAAGTCAGATTGCCTTCCCACCATACTGGTGTATGCCCAGAAATCCACAAGTTCATCTAAGATCTGCAACCAGGATGCACATTACCCTGGGACACCAGTGAGGTCTTAGGTCTTGGCAGTTGGAGGGCTAGAAACACATCATTTATAATCATTTCACTTTACATAAGGGAATAAAGTGAAAAATTGTCAAACCACACAAAAAGAAGAAAAACTAAGTACTGGTAGTAGAACATATTTTATTCCATGGTTGTATTTTGGCATAGTCTCCTTCACAGAGTCTATTCTTGGCTGTCAACAATCAGATTCTCATTGCCAAGTCCGTGTGAGTATAGCTGTATGATTCACTACTACTCCACTCCAGCCACGGGGTCTTCAAGGTCCTTCTTCCTTGGGTTCAGGAAGACAAGGGGACTGGGGGTGGGGGTGGGGCAGGCATCTTTCTGTCGAAGAAATGCTTCTCTGCTGGGGCAGAGTCTCCCTTCTGTCAAGTGTTTCTCTCTGGCTCGTGGCTCATCTTGCTAGAACAAGTCTTCCCAACAGGAAAGGACCACTCCTCTGTCCTGCCCTTTTTTTTTTTTTTTTTAAAGATTTTATTTATTTGACAGAGAGAGACACAGCGAGAGAGGGAACACAGGCAGGGGGAGTGGGAGAGGGAGAAGCAGGCTTCCCGCCGAGCAGAGAGCCCGATGCAGGGCTCGATCCCAGGACCCTGGGATCATGACCTGAGCTGAAGGCAGACACTTAACGACTGAGCCACCCAGGCGCCCCTGTCCTGCCCTTTTTTTATCAACAGGTTCCCAGTGATGCCTGTGATCCGTCATCTTCCATCAGCCCCTTCTCAGGCCTGGTGATGACTTAGAATCTTCTTCACCCTCAGCCCCACCCTACTATGCAACCCATATTTGTGACCCCAAGTAGAGCACACAAATAGGATGTTCAGGGGCGCCTGGGTGGCTCAGTTGGTTAAGCGACTGCCTTCGGCTCAGGTCATGATCCTGGAGTCCCGGGATCGAGTCCCGCATCGGGCTCCCTGCTCGGCAAGGGGTCTGCTTCTCCCTCTGCCTTCTTCCCTCTCGTGCTCTCTGTCTCTCATTCTCTCTGTCTCAAATAAATAAATAAAATCTTTAAAAAAAAACAAAAAAACAAATAGGATGTTCAAAGCGGAAATAGTGGGGGTCGTCAAAAGACTTTGGCCAAGAGATTTTCCAGTCCCGGAGCCAAACGTGAAACACATTGCCGATGATACTGCGGCCCAGGACACGACCACGGGCTTGGTTAGTTCTCTGGACTGCACACATCCAAAGATGATCGTGGTGAATAGATCTTTGACGCAGCAAAGAATCGGGCACAGCCCGGGCTTTCCCTAAGCTGTTCCAAAGATTGTCCTCAGGAAGGAAGAGAGTCCATGAGAGTTAAAGGCTGTGATCGTGACGATAAGGGCGGGCAAGGTGGTAGCTGGTAAATCCCCACACCACCTTTTCTGCACCTTCTCCCTGGCCAGTGGGGCCCTGGGGATGGCCACGGGGGTTAGCCAACACCAGCCTTTTCGAGTCGTATGTCAGTGTCTCTGATAACACAATTCCCTTGGGATTTCGGGGGGGGGCTTCTAATGCAGTGGAACAGTCACAAAGCCATCTACTGCCCAAGTCACAGGCCTATCTCTATCTCTTACTGACTTCTCTTTCCTGGCATTGCCCCAACCAGGGTCACGTGCCCATCACTGACTCAATGACTGCAGTAAGGTCCAGGCCATACATCCAAGCCTGGAGATGGGGTCAGGGTCATCCCCACCCAAATTGCAGGGTTGACAGGGAGGGAGAGATGATTCCCCAAAGGAAAGACAGGCTGATATTCCCGGAAGGAAGAGGAAAGCCTGCTGGTGAGAAAAACAAAAAATTATATGGCATATATTTGGAATAGTATGCAGCTGTTTAAAAAGAATAAGGTAAATCAGCATACGCTGATTGGGAACAATCGCCCAAGACAAATTAAGTTAGAAAAAAGCAGTATGCAGAAGAGTGCATACGGTGTGTACTCATTTGAGTCTACCAAGATGTGGGTGAGTGTGTGTGTGCTTGTGTGAACATTTTTGCAAGAATACACAAGAAACAGTGAACGGGGGTTTATCTCTGAAGGGTGGCACTGAGGGGTGGAGGGTGGAAGGAAGACTCTGCTTGTTTTCTATCCTTCTGAATGTTTAACTGAGTACCTGTACATTTTCATTAAACATCCACCAACCAGGTCCCACCTTTAAGTTGCATTCAGAGCATCTATGTTAGAATTTTTGCATCAGAGGAAGATCGCTGCGTGCGTGTAATCTGTGACCTGGCTGGGATTTTGGCTGAGAGGCAATTGGCCTGGGCTAGCCAGGCCTGGGGGCCATAGACCAGGAGCTGGGCACAGCAGAGCTAACTGTCATGTGCCTTGGTCAGGAGCAGAGGCTGGGAAGAACTTCAGAGGAAGAGGGAAGCAGAGGGCTCGGCTCTGAGAGCTCAAGTCGGGGGACTTTATTTTTGGAAACAGAGGGGGCCTGAATTGGGGATCCAAGGGTCTTTGGAGGGATCTCAGGGCAGCTGCCAGCCCACTGGGGCCCTTTTTTGGCACCCTGGCCCCAAGGATGCCCCAGAAGTGCTTGATTTTGCTTTGGCCATTAACACCACTTACCAGTATAGGGTGACGAGTGTTTATATCTAGTTAACATGTAGCAGAAACATTCTGCTAATCACCTAGACATGTCAGATCAACTCCATGGTATCGTTTCTTAGTCCAGGGATGGTGTCTGCTCCTCTGTTCAAACTTCATCAGGTGCCACTCGGGCGGTCAGGCCACCTGCTCACAACTTTACAAAATGGGGAACCTAAGAGACAACCCTGACTCGCCATCCAGGAACTGCCAGCCATATTCACTTTCCCCCATGATACATGAAAATCAAGTCGACAGGAATCAAAAATTCCCCCTTAAACAAATTCATTCAATACTTATTAAGCATTGGGGCACCTGGGTGGCTCAGTCAATTAAGCATCTGCCTTTAGCTCAGGTCATGATCCGGATCGAGCCCACGTCGGGCTCCCTGCTCAGCGGGGTTTAAAAAAAAAAAAAAAAATCATTGATCATCAGCGACCTGCTGGGTGCTGTGTTGGGTGCTGGGAATACAGAGGTCGACAGTGTGTCCAATCCTGGCCCTCGGAACTTCCTGATGAGGGCCCTACCAGCAGGTGGAAGCTGAGCCTCTTGGCGGTCTCTCTTTTTCTTTAGAAGTTCCTGAGTGAGAGGCCACCAGGCCTCATTCACCACAAGGCTGAATGCCCTGGGTACCAGCTCCGAGAGTGACAAGGCAACTATGTTTAGCATTTCCTGATGGAACCAGAATCCGCAGTCAAGAAAAGCTGGTCCTGGCCAAAAGATGGACTTTTGGATGAGAATGATGTCTTCAATAATAATCCTGCCAAAAACCACTGCCTCATGCATTAGCCTTCTCCCTAGAGGGTAATAGGAACCAGGAAGTGACAAAAAACTCAACTTGTACAGGCTGGGGAAAAAAACCAAATCTGATTTTGTGTTTTGTTCCTACAAGGACAGAAATAAACACTTTATTACAAAATGAATACATAGGATGTTTTCATGCAAACAATGTATACATTTTAAAAATAACTTTTCTTTAGACTTTGGTATACAGTATATGCTCCTAAGCATTTCTTAATATATGTAAAATAAATACTTATAATTTTTTTTTACAAAAGTAGAGTTAATACATTCTGCAACTTGCTTCTTCTGTCATTTCTTATAGCTCTATTGCGTTCCTTTTTAACACTAACATAGAATTCCACAGTATGGAGGTATCAAAATTATTATTACTTCATTATTTGCCTGTTGGTGGACATTGAAATTGTTTCTTTTTTTTTTAAGATGTTATGTATTTATTCATGAGAGACAGAGAGAGAGAGAGAGAGGCAGAGGGAGAAGCAGGCTCCTTGGGAGCCCGATGCGGGACTCGATCCCAGGACCCTGGGATCATGACCCGAGCCGAAGGCAGATGCTTAACCATCTGAGCCACCCAGGCGCCCTTGAAATTGTTTCTAATTTTTAATAGTACAAACAACACTGCAATGAACATCCTAGCACATATAATTTTGTGCTCTTGTAGAAGTGTTTCTCTGCAAGAAATTTCTGGAAGTGGAATCAGTGGGTCAAAACTTCTCTGAGAAGGTTCAACTTGATTTTGTGGTGAAGAATACTGTATAATGAAGAGTCTGCAGATCAGAGAGTTATAAAATAATAGACAAGATTAATAATTCAGAGTAACCTGTAAAGTTTGCCCAAGGGTATGCTTTGTGGTGTTGGGCTGGCCTGGTCGGAAATGTTCCAATCAGTTTCCTCATTAGGACAGGAAATCAGCAGAGCAGGATTCCTGAGTCGGTGTCTCCCTGATCCCACTGACATGAGCGGGAGAAAAGTTTTGATGTCAGCATCAGGATTAGTCATGAACTGAACACATCAGTAGATCGCACGTGACGATGGATCCCACACCGAGAGAAACTAGGAAGCATCGGCCCTCAGACTGGGAAGTGCTGTTCTGAAGAGAGAACAGCGCCCCCAAGAGGCGTTTGGATGTCAGCACCTGTGCGCACACAACCCAGACTGGACCTCTGCCTGTTTAGGCAATGAGCGGGGGGGTCAGTTTCTCACTTATTCTTAAACTCACCCAGAAATATTTGCTGTCTAAACCTCTTCTTAAATAAAAGTAATACAATACAACACACTAAGACTCTGGGTAAGTCTTAGTGAGTCTGAGTAAGTCTTAGTGTTTTCCATCTTGTGCGATTTTTCAGACAATGGTGTAGAACATTCACCAAACCTAGTGAGCGGGTGGCGCGGACTAGCCCGCTCTCGCTGCAGTTTTACTGTTGTCCCAGCATCACTGAATATTCAGCAATGTTCCAGAAGTGATAGGAAGTAGCACAACTGTTTGGGAAGAGGGTCCTGAGGTAAGAAATAAAACAATAGCCAAGGAAAAGGTAGTTAATCTATAGAATGAGAATAAGCACAGCAACAATGCTGCACTGAGATTCTTTTTTTTTAAGGAGAAACACAGAAACCAAATAAACATTCCCCTATCCCAGGGTTTCTCAACGTCCACACTGTTGACTTTGGTCTGGAAGATTCTTTGTCGTGGGGGGCGGTCCTGTGCACTGTCTATCCACTAGATGTCACAAGCAACCCCAGACACTCAGTTGTGACCATCATTAATGTCTCTAGAACTCTTGTCATTTTTGAACATTTGGAGATTCAAGAAGCTCTTGGGAAGTATCTCTCTGGAACACCCAGCATCCCCCGGGGGACTCTGCCCCCTTCCCTCATCCTGATCGGAAGCCTGAATTCAGCTACCACGGGGCCGACTGAGTGGCCCATGTGGAAGCGGAGCGGCCTCGGAGGACCAGCAGCCCCACAAACAAGAACCCCATAACTTGGTTTCTGGAGCAGCAAGCGTGCGGTTACAGGGAACCCTTCCAGAAAACTGCAGACTCTAGGGCAGTCCTGCCCAGAGCGAGATTGAGGGAGAAACCCCAGGTGAGGGGGCCAGTTTGCAGAATTACAGGCAACTTCACGCGCTGCCCAAGTATTTCTTGAGCACCTGCTCCTGGGGTGTAAGCTACAGTGTGCGAGGGGGCGGGGGGCGGGGACAGACAATACACCTATCAAGCTGGGGAGCCACTCTGGTGTTTCGAGGAGACTGTTCTTGCAGTTCACGCACAGCTCCCACCTCGGGGGTGGCCTTGAGCCCGGGGTCTGTGCCTCAGGGGCCCCTGCTCGGCCCGGGCATGCTCTCTCTTCCTCTCAGGGCTCACGTCCTGCCCGGACTCACTGCTTCACCTAAAACCCGGCTCCCACCCGGGTGGCGCCGCGCAGGGGCAGGGGGCGGAGCACACGGGGCAGGGGCGGGGCCGCGCTCCAGAGCCACGCCTCCGAGCACCGCCCCTTCCCCCGCCCCCGACCACGCCGGCGTCCTCCCCTGCGGCCTCGCGCCCGCTCCGTCCCGCCGCGGACCCCGCCTCCGGGAAGGCGCCCGGCGTTCCCCTTTCCGCCTCAGGCACCCTGGCGGGGGACGCCGAGGAGCGACGTCCCGCGTTACCCTTACACGGGGTCGCCATCTAGTGACAGCAGGATATACTGCTGCGTGCAGACGTGAAGCCGGTCGCCGGTACGAGTTTGGAAGGTTCTGGTTAGTGCGGGAACGCTTTGGGGTGGGGACTGGACCCGCTCCCAGGCCCTGGGGTTGGGGGGAGGCTGATGGGTGGCCCTTCGCTCGCCTGCACCCCGCGGCCCGGGGGCCCCCTCCGCAGAGGAAGGCGGGCCTGGGCCACACCTGAGGAGGGCCTCGTGTCAACAGTAGCCCGGTCTTCTCGAAAGGACAGGCCGGCGGCGCCAGCGGGGTTAGCTCCGAGAGCCCGCCCTGGGCAGAAGACCTGTCTGCAGGTTGGTCTGGCTTAGCGAAGCCCGCTCTGTGTCGGAGCGGGGAACGGTGTGCAGGGAGACAGGGGCACCGGAGGGAGCTCCGCCAGCTCCGAACAGGCCTGCCCCCCCGGAGCGCCAGCTCCAGAAGACAGGGCAGGGGGGGGCAGAACGCCTAGGCTCCTGGAAAGGCCTCCGGGACCGCCAGCTCTCAACCTTGCTGCAGCACAGACCCAAGGAACAAGCGCACTCTGCGGCACACATCCAGGTGGGGACAAGACTCCAGTCGCCTATTTGTAGACACCCCCGAAACGGTACTAGGGGGTTTCTTGCATCCCCCAGGTTGGCTTCGTGGAGGGAGCGTGCTGCGGGACAGAGTACCGGGTCCAAACTCAGGTCGGGCTGCTCGCTGCTGGAAAATCAGTCCTCGAGAGACACGTGGTGGTGGGAAAGGAAAGGTCGTTTTATTCAGTAAGCAGGCAACTGGGAAGCTGGTGGACTAATGTCTCAAAGACCATCTTCTCCCTCCAGGCGAAGCCAGAGGGTTTTAGAGGGGAAGGGAAAGAGGGGAGGGGAGAGAAGGGGGCTGCATGCTGGAGAAGCAGGTGTCCAGGTGCTTAGTCCTATGTTGTCGGCATGATCCTGAACAGACTTGCTGGCATCTGCGGCAGCTGACCTTATCTTCTGAGAAAGTCTGGTCCTTCACCCCCAAGGCCAGTGGTCTGCAAATCTCAAAGAAAGTTAGTCCTGCTACAGATCAAGGGACTAAGGGGATAAGTGCCTTAATAGAAGCAGATGCAAACTGAGGACAGAGAGAGCGATCAGAGCTGCCATGTATGTTTGTGCAGGTTGCTCACTGCACAAGGGCACCTGGTGGCGGTGGAGGAGTGGGCACCGGGCACTGGGATCTGGAACTCAGCCCTTACCTGATCACAAAGCCATGCAACCTGGCAAGGGCTGTGTCGGCCAAGAGGAAGGGGAGCCCTCTTCAGATTCACCTGCTCTCCAAGAGCCTGCCCACAGGGGCCCCCTTTTCTTTCTCAGACACAGAGAGGGGCAGGCTGCAGCCCTTGGGGAGTTAGGTGACTGTCTTTGGAGAAAAGGCTCCTGCATGGAGCCCCCCAGCCCAGGACTCTTTGGTTTCTGTGGGCCACAGTCACCTCGCTTCTCCCACAGGTAGAAACTCCCTTGGAGGTCCACCGTGTGTTAGCCAGAGGGCCAAACCTTTTCTGGTGTTTGTGGTCTCCGTCAGGGGCACTGCTGGGGAACAATGTCAGTGCTCTTGTAAAAGCCTGGTATTTGATTATAAAGTTTTTCAGGCAGAAAACATGTATTTGCACTGTTCTGTTGACTCTGGCCTGGTTCCCTAAGCCAAGCTGTGAACAGCCTGCCCCGGTTTCTCTTGTTCCCAGAATCCTTTAGGTGCAAAGACACACCTCTAGACTGAAAGGTCAGTATAGTCCCAGTGGACAAAGATTAAGGAGGCCCCAAAGGTGAGTTTATGTTTCTCCCATCTGGTCTATAAAATCTGAGCGGTTAAGGACTTTCTGATGCTGGAAATGGTTGAGGTGTTTCCTCCTGGTCTACCAGAGGACCAGGGGGAACATACACATTTCCTCAGGCTGCTGCAAGAAAGTACTACAGCCTCGGTGGCCTGGACCGCAGAAATGTACTGTCTCGCACGTCTGGAGACGAGAAGTCCACGATCCACCAGTCATCAGGACTGGCACCTTCTGAGGGCTCTCGGGGAGAACCTGCTCCTGGCCTCTCTCCCAGCTTCCAGTGCTTTGCTGGCGATCTCTGATGGGTTTTGGCTTGTAGACACATCCCACCCATCTGCCTTTATGTTCACGTAGCATTCTCCCAGGATGCATGTCTGTGTCCAGATCTCCCCTTTTCATAATTACCCAGTTATACTGGATGAGGGCCGCCCCCCGTGGCCTCACCGTGACTAATGACATCTCCAAAGAAGGTCACATTCTGGGGTGCTGGGGGTTGGGGTTTCAACATGCGCATTTGGGAGGACACAATTCAACTGAGGCCCTTAAGAACCCGAAACAAGGTGGCGGTAAAGCCCTCATCTTCTACCCACTGCTGTGGTGACATGAAAAGGGATGTGGGAGGGAGGGGACGTTCAGCTCATAAAAGCCGCAAGAAAGTTTTTCTTTCTGCATCAGGTTTGTATCAGGATTGTGTTCTTTTTTTTCTTTTTTTTTTTTTTTATTTATTCATGAGAGACAGAGAGAGAGACAGAGGCAGAGGGAGAAGCAGGCTCCCCGTGGAGCAGGGAGCCTGATGCGAGACTCGATCCCAGGACCCTGGGATCATGACCTGAGCCAAAGGCAGACGCTTAACTGACTGAGCCACCCAGGCGTCCCATCAGGATTGTGTTCTTATCCCCAGGTAAACAATAAAATCTCCAAGACAGACAGACAAGCCAGACAATCTCTTCCTTATATGTTCCCAGACCATAAGGGAGAGGGAGGTTTTAATAACCAGAGTAGGCCGGGAGCTGCCTCAGTAGCCAGGGACAGG